ATTGAGTCTATAACTATGAACATCAAAAGGAAACCCTAAGAAACATAGGCTATTTTTGAAAAATATCAAATTAGGGTTAATGATTACATGCATTGATTGTTATTGTAGCAAATAACAACGAACAACTTCTTGTTGATCTATTGGAAGCAAGTACCCCAATTGTCGTTCCCCTAATGGGATCACACCCAAGCTAGCAGGATGGTGAATATCGCCATATGATAAGGGATAGACAAGTTTTCATCCAAGGATTATTGAGGGAATGAATGCATGAAAATGTGAAGGGATATGACCTTTATATAACTGAGGTGGATTGGTGCCAAATCTAGGGTTTAAGGAGGAAACCCTACATTCCCTTGCTTGAAAACCAAGCCGCCCGTTCCCCTCATTTAAGGGGTTTAGATGAAATCTCTTGGGCTTGCCCAAGTGATTTTCGTCCACTTCATCCAATGAGGTGCCTGGGCCTTTTTCAATCAACTTTCAATAAATAACCAAACAATTCATGCACTTTAATTAATCCAATTAGTTTATGATTAATTATTAATCAAACAATATGATTTATAATTAATATATTATTTTCACAATATATTAATAAATCAATTATTTTTATTTATTATTCAAATAATAAATCAACATCTCTTTCTCCAAAATCATCCTATCTAGTTGCTAGGTTTAAAGGCAACCCAAAATGGTTGTGCTACTATCAGTTCAAGTATATAACAATTATAGTGATGGTCTTGGAAACCTAATCCAATAGGAAGTACATGTTGATGATTTGTATCCTTACATGTACCAACGTCATTATCACCAACATACTTATATGTTTATGGAGAAACAAAAGTCTAGAACCAAAAATACGAAAGAATTTTACGTTAGGCTTTCTATTTTCAAAATTTCATAAGGTTAAATCAAAAAATGTTTATTGATATATGAATGATTTTGAGTAAAGCAAGCAGTTGTGATGACATCAACCTAAAAATATAACAACAATTTTTGTGAAAGATAACATGGTTCTCGCAGCTTCATACAAAAACGATATCATCTTTCAGCTACACCATTTTTTTGTGGAGTGTGCGGAGAAGAAAAGTTGTGAGTGATTCATTTCTTAGTTAAGAATTCATCAAAAACATGATTCTTGAACTCCGTTCCATTGCCAATTCATATCTTTCAAACATGCTTTCGCAATTGAAGTTCAATTTGCTTGATAAAATCAGTCATCTTCTTTATGATTTCTTATTTCTATTTAAGAAAGAATACCCAATTGAAACAAGAAAATCATCAACAATAACTAAAATGTATTTGTTACTGCCAATGCTTTCAATTGAAGATGGACCACAAAGATCTATATTTATTAATTTCAGTGGTTCGATTATCTTGGTATTCATGATCGAAGAATAACTTTTTCTGCTTTGCTTTCATTGTTCGCAATCAACGCACGAATGTTCTTTGTCTTCTCTTATAAGAGGCATACCTCTAACCAAATCTCCAAAAACGAGTTTATCAATATCTTTGAAGTTGAGATGTGAAAGTTTCCTATGCTACAACCAACTATCATTTGATGATGCTTTCGCAAGCATACACAAAAGGTTTTCCTTGATTAGGATTCAAGTTGAGTGGATACATTTCACTTTTTTTTTACTTTAAAATTGTTCTATTTGATTATTTATTTACGAGTTATGAACCTTAATCATCAAAAGAAACTATAAGACATGTACTTACTAGAAGTTGTGAAAACACTAATTAGATTATTCTATAAACCTTCTACATAAGCTACCATATGAATTGTGAATTCGCCATTTGTTATCATATGTATCCTTTGATTTCTCGAGTTGCATTATTCTCATATTTCACTCTTCCACCATCTTTCAAAGTACGATACTCTCTCATTTTGTGATTTCCTTCCATTTATATGACGAGAACAACCATTATCAATGTACCATTTGGAATCGAATTGCTCGTCACAAATTACCTACAAAATTAAAAAGATTTAGGAACCCAAGCCATGTTGGGCCCTGATGAGAACTTTGATTTAGAAGAAAAAGTAGGAAAAATCTTTATTTTATCAATCCAAAATGATTTTCTGATCAAAGTATTATTCACCCTTTTTTCAATTTTAAAAACTTGAGTATTTGTATCACAAATATTTATTTCAACAAAAGATGTTTTTCAATTATAATTTGCTTTTTTTACTATATTTTCCAAAAAATCATCGTCTTCTTTTAATTTTGCTTGTATGCTTTAACATTAGCATCATGTTTGTTCAAATCTTTCATTTGAATGTTCTTTGTTTTTGTTAATGACTTGGTTTTATCTTTTTTAAAAAGTGGATGAACATACATTTTGATTAGAAGATCTTTTCGTACCAACAAACTTTTGATTTTTAATTTTAGAATGAGAATCATTATTATCAAATTCCATTTTCTTTCACAATTGTTTTCTTTTAATCATTTCTTTTTATATATTGCATTCATTGCTCATATTTTTGCTTTTAGTTCCTCAACAAATTTTTTGAGATTTCATTTTGCAATTGCTTTTCATTCCATTCTCCTTTTGAATATCAGTCAGAACATCTTTTGTTCCACTTGGTCCAACTTCATTTTGTGAATATTTCACATTATTCACTTGTTCTTAAACATATTTCCCTTTGAATTTCCACAAAGTCAAGTTAGAGAAGTCTTTTGTTTCAGCATCGTTGTTGATTGGTTTGGACCAAAATAATTCCTCATAACCTTTTGCATTGTCAAGGTTAACCACTGATGTTAAATATGATGTTTGGTTTTTGTCTAGACCCACTTTCATAAAAACTTAATTTGGGGTTTTCTGAATTTTTGGAAAAAAAACAATTGCTTGGATTTTTAAAATTTTCATTCTATCATTTTGAACAAATTGTTCGAACTCAATTGAATATCCAAGAATCAAATTTCATTTTAATTGCTCGTTGTTATTTGCAAAAGATGAGCAATTAACTTCATCTTCAATTGATATTTCACTCGTACCGCTTTCCTCAAATTCATACATATTCTCAAAATTTAGATTTTCTTCTGAATTCAATTTCTTGCACAATAAGTAAAATTTTTCAATTGAATTGATTTTGATTTGTTGCTTGTCATTTTCACTTAAAATATCATTTAACATCTTTTTATTTTCTTTGGACTTAATGTATTCTTCAATTTTCTCAGGTCCAACCTTGTAATAATCACTAACAGATTCATTTGATGATACCATCGATTCGCACCTATAACATTCAACATCAATATCATCTTTATTTAATTCTAAGAAATGTAGACTCATTTGCAAACCTTTTCATATTTCACAATAAAGATGTAATTGTGTAATGTTAACGTAAAGATGCTTTGCAATAAGACAAAAAATATTTCTCTATTTTAGTACAATTCTATTGTCATTCTTAAGATTTATTACATCATCTTTAGACCTAACAAGATCTAATTCCAAGGCTTTTATTCACGTACGTCTTTCTTCGTTCTTATATGAAATACTGCTAAGAGTGTCATCAAGATTATAATTTCTTATTCGATTTCTCTTTAAAATATCACTAAGATCAGAAACAATATCACTTAAATCGGTTAATTCATAATCAAAACGATAAACAACAATATCAAGATTTTTAAGAATCGAGTGTACCTTATCGATTACCTTTTCTCACTCAGTGACATGCTCCTTCGCCGTCTTCGCAAAAAACATGCATCTGAAACAACTCATTCGTATGTGAAGTAGCCTTGATTTTTTGAACTAACCCTTTTGACCATGAAACATCTGTTTCCTTTCTTCTTCTTATCCTCCACCATCAACCAATCTCAATGAGTTGGTTTACAAACTTCTTGGTCATGCGAATTAGTTGACCAAACTTCCACATTACCATCATCACTGTTGTCTTTAATCACCACCATAGTGGGTTTGTTAGAATTCTTGCAAAGTTCTTCGATTTTCTTCTAGTAATAGGCTTCATCCTTATCTTTCTCTTCTTGTTCTGCTTTTGCAACATGCATTCTTTTGCGAAATGATTCTTTCATTGACAAGTGTTGCAGTCAAAGCATGAGTCACCAAAAAGCTTATTCTCCTTTTTCACTATCTCTTTTAAAGTTTTTGAAACTTTCATTCTTGGATTTTTCTGAAATTGAGCTTTCTTGCTTGTGATTGTTTCCAACATATTCGTTTTTGTTGTTTCTGAAACGAGAAAAATTATTTCTGAAGAAGTTCTTTGGATTTGTTACCATCATAACTTTGTCTTCTTTTGTAATTTCCTCATATGAGATATCAAATTCAAAATCTTCCACGACAATCTTTGTCTTCTTTTGCTTTGAACTTTCACTTTTTTTCACTAATACCAATGAATCAACACTTGTAACCATATTTGCCTCCTTCATCACTTCATCGTAATGAGACTTCAATATACCAGCAGTTTGTGCAAGAGAGTAATTATGGACTTGTTCGTGTGCTTTGACAATAGAAACAATTTATTTCCATCCTGGCCTCAAACTAATCATTAATCTGACCTTTTGTTCAATGACTTTTATATTCAATTTATAATTTAGCATAAGACTTAAAAAGATGATTAATCGATTGACAGTTTGCTCGATAATTTCATGAGACTTTTGCTTAAAAGATTTGGATTTAGACAGAAGTGACATTTGCAAAAAACGAGTGAGATCAACATCTCCATAATATAATTCTTTCAATCTATCCCATATTTCTTTTGAGTTTGATAAGAACTAAGGGCATCCACAATCCATTGAAGTTTATCGAGTTCAACAGATTGCCACATCATCCATTAGACATCTATACAACACTACCCACAACCCATTAAACACATATTCAATCCTAATCACTATTTTATTCCTTATATTGAACCACTCAATGATTATTCAACTCATTCATTCAACTCAACTCCATGTCATCACCCACATTCCATTCAACTCCTATTCAATTATAGTCATCACACTATTCAACTCTTATACTTCTTGTATTGTGGATGCTCTAACCAAATGAAAAGTGCCAAGAGGAAGAACAAACTGTATGAATTTGAAAGCTTTCAGGTTGCTCATTAAATTATCTCTCTCCACAAAATCAGTTTGAGTATCATCAACAATGATAAATTCAAAATATTCCTAAGTTTTGACATCCTTCTTCGTATTGGAATACTTGTACGTTCCTTTTTGTGATTGTTTTCCAGATGATAGATCCATAAGTTTCAATCCCTATGACATAATTTTCAAAGTGAAGAACCCAAACTTCATAATCTTCAGGAAACAAAATAGGAATTCTCGATGTGGAACCGATACTGCTTGGAAGGTTGGATGTGATTGAGTGTGAATACTCTCTTGACACATTGAATGAAATAAAAAGTGAATCAGATTAATGAACTTGAAAAAGAGTAAATCAAACGATTCAAACACATAATTAAAGATCAATTTGCAAAATGCGAAATAGATCTAGAATTCAATGAACAAATATGGAAAAACACGATGAACACGACATAATCAAATCATGAAAAAGCTCAAATGATCACCCGCTCGGATACCAATTGAAGGAATATTTAGATTCACAATTCAAACAAAGATAAGATTCATAAGAACACACGAAGTAAATAAGTTTTCTCTTTGATTAACGAAAAAGTCAGAACAATTTGATGCAAGAGTAAAGAACTATTCTATGCGTAAAACTCTTAATCGTTTTTCTAACCAATATTCCTTTATATATGTTTCACATTAATATGAGAAAGACATCCCAAGTCAACAACTAAGCTGCGAACTTAAGGTAATAAAAAGTGGGAAATCACAACATGGCTCACACTAAATAAAAACATTACATAATACGAACAAGTACATTACAAGTCGACATAACAAAAATTATGAACTCTATATTACCACATAACCTCAAGATTTGTCAAATATCTGGATTTAACTGTTCTATGATCATAAACAACTAAATATCAAGTTCATGTAACTGGAATAGTCATCTAACCACACATAACTTGTAGATAAATGATAAAAATCATAACTTTAATATGCCGGGTAGTTGATCTATCAAACACGAGTAAAAACCAACATAAATAAATCCATATAAATCAAAATTAATGCATCATATAAATGTTCGTCTATGCTAAACGGAAGCACATGAGTATTAACCCATAACCACATCAGAAAAATGAAATAGCATTGAGAAAACTAGTGCAAACATGTTAAAATCAAGCAAACTAAATGAATATCCATCTCTTGTCTTTGGATCTCTTTGAATCTTGTTCTTCAATCAATCTTTGGCCTTTTTAGAGTTACTAAGAGGTTTTTGGTCGTCTAAAGTTGCAGACAATAGTAACTCTCCTTTGGATTTTGATATAATGATTCAATATATAAGCTTCCAAAATCACATCACCACGACGTGGTAAATGGTTCACCATGTCTTGGTGAACAATCCTTCACGTAGCCGCCAAGTTTTCAAACAAGCTCCCGAAAATCTTCTATGTCTGACACGTCAGCACGTCGTGGCAAGATGTTGACCACAAAGTGACAACCATTGTTTGCACATTTTCTTCTTCTTGATGAACGCTTCCAATGCCTCTACCTCTAGCTTAGCAATTTGCTCTTTTTTCCCTGAGAATGTTTTTTTCCAAATTCAAAATCAAAATATAAACAAATTAAATATCATTTCTAGTAAATAATGATTGAATGCAACTAAAAATACTTAAATATTGCATAAAATATGTGATATATATATATATATATATATATATATATATATATATATATATATAATGACTTTGTTCAAGACCGATCTATTATTTTTTAATGTCCTGGGCAAAATGATAAAATAATACCCTATTTTTTACCAGACGAGACACATTTATAAAAACTTAAATAACAATAGCGCAATAAACTTTACAATTAATAAAAAAATTATTAATACAAAAAAAACCTAAAAAAACTTCCTAAAATGTTGTTTGATTTGTGATCCTAATAGTTTCTTGCAGGATTTGAAAAAAATTCGATTAATTATTGAAAACTTCTAAACGCCTTTGATTTACAACTATCGTTGAAGAATCTCTTATGGAAGAAGCTCTTGTGCAAGAAGCTCGTAAAAAGTCATGATAAGAAAATTTTCGATTAGTTAGTGAAAAAAACCTAATTAATACACAAATTATAGTTTAGGGACCATATATTTACTACATACATATCATTGTGAGTTGTGACTATATATTTACCAGATACATGTATTGTGACCATATATTATATTTGAGAGATACATGCAATTTCAATAATGTTATCCATTTATATTTATAAAAACATTGTTAATGATTTTATCCGTAATATTTTTTTTTTTTAAAATCTGTTTGTAGTAATGATTTAGAAAAAAATAAGAGTAATGTATTATTATTATTATTATTTAAATTTCTTTTATTTAAAAAAAGGATATATTTTTCTTATATTTGTCATAATCTATTTTATGATTTGATTTCGACTTGTATAAATACGTTCCATACTTAGATCTATTTTTAATTTGCCGTAATCAACACTCAATTACTTGAGCCAAAATGGATAACACCCTTCGAAAATAGAAAAACCTTACAGCCATACTCCCCTGGCCAGTGACGGTCAACAAACAGCGCGTGTCGGTTACCATGATGGTAGAAATACCCCACGCGCTCCTCTCTGGTTAAAAAACCGATGAACGCATACAACACTCACTAACACATCTGAAAATAAATTCTCCCCCCTTTCCTTTCTCAAGAGCGGGAACCCTAAATTTAGTTTTTTCAAAATTTCAATTTACAGATCTATCTCTTTCTATCGTCTAAATCTATGCGTCTTCCAGGTTTAGAGTTAATTAATTGAAACAGTACTCAATCTCCAACTCAGGTACTATTTGTTGTTTGTTATATAGATTCGTTTACCGCAATAAGTCGTTTTTTTTTGTGTTTTTGGGTTGATTTGATGCATTCTTGTGGTTATTGTTTTGTTTTTTGCACTTCAAGATTTGAACTTGTTTTTCTTGCATACCGACTTAGTTATTTTTTATTTTTTACAGAGATGGATTTTCATAATATGAAAAGGACGGAACTTCAAGCGCTATGCAAGGAACACAAAATTCCTGCGAATTCTGCCAACTCCGTGTTGATTGATAAGCTTTCTCAGCTTCTCAATGTAAATTTTCACTTCCTTGTGCTATCTTTTTTCATGTTTTGGTAGGTGTTCACACTGTTTACGTAACGAGATTTAAACTTGAATTTGTGCCCTAAAATATTGGCTCTTCAATTTGGTTTATTCACTAAATTAATCTTCAAAGTAGAGGTTCATTACTACGTTGAACTTTGAGATCACTTCTAAAAGATGTTTATTTTTTCACACTAAAAATTCCTTGGCTTTATGACGATTGGGAAGGTAAGTATTCCATCATTTCTCCAAACATTGCTATTTCTAAAATAAATGCTAATAATAGAAGTTTATAGCATGTAGTTGGTACTTTGAGAAAATCAGAAAAGAGTAGGGCTACAATTATATGAGAATGATAAGTATTGTGAGAATGTGATAAAGATTATGGAACATAAATTAAAGAGATATATTTATATCTTTTTTACATTATCACAATACTTATCATTTAGTATGGTCCTATCTCAAAAAGAGTATTTTGCTAAGTTTGCTAAGGAGAGTAATTAAACATAGAAACTAAAGGTGTCATATTATTAAATGGATGTAGGTAATAATAGTTGCCATCTAGGTGGCCTAGTGGTGATCATTTGGTATGAAACTTTCCAAATTGGAGTTGATCCAAGTTTGAATCTCACAGGCTTCAACCTTGGGATTGCTGTTTATATGTGTATATTCAAGCTTATGTTACTGTGTACCAAATTGTCATTGTTACATGTTAATAGTTACTCTTTCTGATATTTTACTCAACAATATTGTATTCAGGTAAAGCAGGAAAAGCAGAAACCCGGAACACGACAACGTGCTTGTATAAAGAGTTCGGTTGAAGCCATAGATGAGAGTGAATCCGCAGTGTCAAGAAGGCAAGCAAAGAAAGTTAGGTTTAGTCCAGAAGTCGAGTATGAACGATCTGGCAAAAAACAGAAGGCTATAGAGCCTGTGGTTACTGGGATCAAAGGTAGAACTAGATCTGTGGCGAAGAAGGTCGATGAACCTGCTGTTGATGATGTTAATAATGCCATTGATGATGATGTACAAATTCCTGTTAAGGTTACTAGGTCTAGGGCTCATATACTGGAAAAGGTTGATGTCGTATCAACTGATGGAAGGAAGCAAGGTAGAAGGGCTGTAAAAGATGTACAAAAGGAAACTGAGGAAGTTAAAGAAACTGAAGGCAATCTTGGCAAAGTCACCAGATCAAAGGCGAACACAGTGAGAAAAGGCAATGCTCAACCTGAAAAAAGCAAGCCAAGCAAAAAAGAAGTTAAAGATGTTGAAAAGGAAAGTGAACCAGTTAAAGAAACCATTGTTGTTCGTGCTAGAGTTACACGGTCAAAGGCACAAACTGTGACAGAAGACATTAAGGAACCTGAATCGAGTCCTCAAGTTAAGAAAAAACATGGTAGACAAACAGAAAAAGATGAGGCAAAAGTTGAGCTCTCTAAGGAGGTTAAGGATGTTCCAGTTAGAGCTACAAGGTCTAGAGGACAAACTCTAAACACTGATAGTTTGGTTGCTAATCCTCCAGCTGAAAAGAAAAGAACTAGAAAGGATGATAGTGAGGCTGCTAATCCTCCAATAGAGAAGAAAAGAACTAGAAGGGACACCATTGTTGCTGATGTGAGCCTTAACACAAGCAATGAAGATAAAGGTGAGAAATTGGGACGTGGGAGATCAAAGAAAATAAGTGAAGAGAGAATTGCTGAAGTTCCTGAAACTCAAAATAATGCTGACAAGGGCACAAGGCAGTCAAGGAGAAACAAGGCAACAGTTGAAGCGCCTACAGTTGTGGATCAAGATGTAAGCAAAGTGGAATCTGTTAATGAAAAGAAAGTTACAAAGTCCAAAGCTCCTCCTGCAAAGAAATCTTCTGGAAGCAAAGCTGGGGTTCAACAGCTTGAGGAACCATCAGAGCCTGCAGGTAGAAGGAATGTAAATCGAAGAAAATCTGTCATGCAGCCTAAAGTAACTGAAGTGGTTCTTCCTCTTGAAGAACCTGTGAACATTCCTAAAAAGGACACCAGGCGAAAATCTGTTGTGCAAAAAGCTCAGGGGAAAGGAAACAAGAAACCCCCTGTTGGAAAGAAAGAAATAGTAAAAGAAACTGAGAAGCCTGAATCTCCTATTCGTAAGACTGTTGTGAAAAAGCAATCAAAAGATGCTTCTGAAAAAGAAATGAAAGCAGTTGCTAGTGGTTCTGAGAGTAAAAATTCTAGGAAACGAAGTGGAGACCCTATTGTTGAAGATCAGATTGTTAAGCCTGAGCCTGTGTCTACACGTAAAGAATCTGTTGCAAAAAAAGAGCAAGAGAGTGTTGAAAAGACACCTGCATCTAAAAAAGTTGCAATGAGCGAAGGTAATAGGTCTAAAAAGAAGGCAAAATTGAGTGAAATAAAACAAAGCGATTCAGATGACCATGTTGAAAAATCCATTTCAATGGAGACACCGATTTTAAAGATGGCGAATCTTGGATTAGATGATAAAGTTATGGAGACTGAGCAAACTCCCGCTATTGTTGAATCTGGTAGGCGGTTTACACGTGGTGTAATAAGAAGTGATAGAAAGGCGCCAAGTCAGTCAGCCATTAAAGAGCAAAATACTGGAGTAGCTCGTAAAACTCCAGGTCGATTTACACGCAGTGGAATCAAGGAGAAGCCAATTGAGTCGGCTCATCAAAGTCTAACTTTTGATGAAGCTCTTAATGCCTCACCTGAAGATGCAGTAGCTGAGCCTAGTCCAGATGATTCTATAGCAGTTCCAGCTGAAGTTTCTAACGAAACTCATGCTCAGATAGTAGACAAATCAAACAATTTATCAGCTTTAGAATCGTTGGAGTTGCCAACCATTGATGCACTTTCAGATGGATCTCATGTACCTAATCAGAATCAGGAAGTTCATGTCAGTTCAGAGATAGTTGTGGAAGCTGAAGTTCAGGTAGCAGTAAATTCAGAAAACTCTGTGGTTCCAGAAGTTTCTGAAAAAGAAACGGAATTGACAATATCAGAATCCACATCAGAGGGGCTGGAAAATGATGCGAGGGTTGAAGAACCATCTGTTTCTGCTGTGAAGACTGTTGAAGTACAAGAGAGTGTTAATGTTTCCCTAGAAGAGTCTGACTTTAATGGTAAATAAATACTGTTGGCTTTGTTTTATTAGTCTGTAAGGTGAGTGATTTGAGTATAATTTTGTTTTATTAACCTGTAGGCAATTCAAAAGAGGTTGAAGCTTTGGTAGAGCCATCAATGGTCGAAGGTGTGAATCAGGTTATTGCAGATGATCAAGCTTGTGCTAAAATAGATGATGATGATGGCCCTGATAGTGAAGAAGATGAGAAGGCTAGCAATCAGAAACATGAAGATGTTGAAAATATAGTTGATGCTCAGGAGATGGATCTTGAACCTAACAGAGATACTATTCAGGAGTCAACATTGGGTGAGGATAAGCTTCAGGGTCTTGGCATGGATGAAAATGATCCTAAAGATGAAAAAGTTACTGTTCCAGAAAGTTTGACCACACACAGTGAGCCTGAAAAGGAGTTTGATGTGGTTGAAGCTGAATACGAGCCTACAACTGCAACTGTTACAGAAAGTGTAATTGCACAGAATGAGCCTGCAAAGGAGTTGGAATCTGATATAGTGTCATCTGCTGGTAATGATGTTCAAGGGATCCCTATTTTGGGCGAATCTGATGATGAAGATGAAGGCGTTGACAATGTCAGGAAACATGAATCAACTAACACAAATGACCAGGATGGAGAATCTGAACAGGAACAACTAACAAGTCATTATAGTTTTGGCATGGAAGACCAAGATGAACCAGGGCCAGCTCAGAATGAAAAAGAGCCCATTCTGCCTGAAGTTTTTACCACTTCTTCTGAGCCATCTCATAATGAAGATGTGTCCGAGTTGCTCGAAGACTTAACCAAGTCTCCTGACCAAAAACCAGAGCCATCCTTGAGTCTTGCTGTTGATGAAGTTCCATGTGATACTGTTGATGCGTCAACAAGCAAAGAGGCACCAGAAAACCCCACATTAGTTGATGAAGAAAAACAGATGGATGGTCACAAGTTGAAGGAAGATTATTCAGCTCAAGAGAACCCAGCCATTGAAGAAAGCTTGCCAGTTGTGTATACAAAAGAAGAATGTGAGACCATAAAACATTTCATAGTGTTCTTTACATGATTTTAATCCTTTATTGATTTCATTTTAAATCATTACTTTGCAGCTACTATTGATGCGTTGGCTACAAATCAACTTCCTGGAGATATTGGATCTTATGAAAGTCCGATTACAGAAGAAGAATGTAAGACCTTTCACACATTGATGGTTTGTCAAACTTTTGTTCTTTATGCTATCATTGACTCGTTTAATTTTTTTTTTTTTTTTTGTTAGCTCCTGTTGATGATATGGTATCGTATCCAGTAACTTCCTCTAAGGAAGAAGAAAGAAACGAGCAAGGTAGTTTGATTATATTATTTTTCAATTTTGATGGATTTAGAATCCTTTAATGTTTTCTTAGCAAATGAAGTAAAAACTTTTGCAGAAGATTTGGGGAATGATAGTCATGGAACAGATGACTTTCAGAAACCAGTTTCAACAAATGAAAGTGTTGATGTAGCAGGTCAAAGCATGAAAGGTAGATTCTTGTGATTTTACTCTTGTTGTGATATCAGTAATTTGTATAACATATTAATTTGTTTCTTTATGATCACTTTATGCTTGTTGATCAACAGATGACCAAGTTTCAGAATTCCAAACTTCTGCCATAGATGAAGCTTCTACTCCTGCAATTGGAGGTGCAACTGTTGGGTTCTTCAACTGGTCTGGTTAGTTCAGTTACTAAACTGTCAGCCAAGATTGTTATGTGCCTATTTTTCGAAATCTTCAGAAAAGAAAGCTGATTGCTGTATTTTGTGAAAGTGTAGATTCGTCTCTAAAAGAATTATTAAAAACACCAGCCACAACTCAAGTCAGTAATGCAGAAGAGTGTCAGCAAAGTGTGGTCAGATCTGCCCTTCCTGCTGAAGGTGGTGCAAATTCATCTATTGATCCAATTTTGAAGTTTAAAGATTTTTGACTCATTGTTTTCTTTGACAATTTTATAGATGGCATAGAAGGCAAAGCAACACCATATCCAGATCTTTCTCTGAAATCTTTATTTACAACACCAGCCACATTGCGAGAAAACCGTCAGCAGAGTACAGTCAGATTTGACCTCACTGAGGAAGGTAGTGCAGTGCCAAGTTCTTCAACTATTGATTAAACAATTTGATGCCAAAAGATTCTTGACACTGAATTCGTTTTATATGATATCATTTAATAGATGACACAGAAAATAATGCAACAAACATTCCATGTTCATCTCTGAAAGCATCACTTACAACTCCAACCACAACCCGTGTCAATTATGAAAAAGAACCAGAGGAGAATACAGTCAGATTTGCTGTTCCCATTGAAGGTAGTGCAAGTTCTTCACTAGTTAGTTTTACTTTTAAAGACTTTGGAGTCCCACTTACTTATGATATCCATTTATAGATGACACGGAGCATAATGCAACACAAAATCCTGATTCGTCTCTAAAAGCTTTATTTAAAACACCAGCTACAACTCAAATCAGTCATGTACAAGGTACTTCATCTATTAATTGGAATTTAAAAAACCCTTTTCACTCATTCTTTCTTTTGATATCATTTACAGATGTTTCCTCTTTGAAAACGTTATTTGCAACACCTGCTACCACTCGAATCAATCGTGTGAATGATCCTCAGGAAAATTCTGTCAGTGTTGCCTTGCCTGATAAAGGTAGTGGGAGTTTTTCATTTTTTTGATTGAATAATTTGAATTTAACAGACAGTTGACTTGTTTTTTTTTTATCATGATATCATTTTATAGATGACACAGAGCACAATGCAACACAAAATCCAGATTCGACTCTGAGAGCTTTATTTAAAACACCAGCCACAACTCAAATCAGTAATGTACAAGGTGGGATGAGCACTTTATTTGTTTGATAAAATAATTAGAGTTTTAAAAACCCTTTGGCTCATTCTTTCTTTTGATATAATTTGTAGATTATTCTTCTCTGAAAACATTATTTGGAACACCAGCCACTACTGGAATCAGTCGTGTGAATGACCTTCAGGAAACTTCTGTCAGTCTTGCTGTGGCAGATAAAGGTAGTGGGAGATCCTCATTTTTTTGATTGAATGATTTGAATTCTACAGAATGTTGACTCTTTATTTTTTTATTATGATATCATTTTACAGATGAGAATGCAGCACCAAATCCAGCATTGTCTCTGAATGCGTTATTTACAACACCTGCCACAACCCGAGTCAGTCATGTAGAAGAACATCAGGAAAGTCTTCCAGATGAAGGTAATACCTATTTGATCAGAATATTTATGATTCTTATTTATGTTGCTGTTTTGTAATATAGATGACACAGAAAGTAATGCAACACAATATTCAGACCTGTCTCTGAAAGCCTTTTTTGCAACACCTGCCATAACTCGAGTCAGTCATGTTGAAGACAATCAACAGAGTGTCAATGAATACACCAATACAACACAAGGTCCAGCTTCATCTCTCAAAGTGTCAATGAATACACCTGCTACAACTCAAATCAGTCATGCCAAACATCTTCATGAGAATACAATTAATTTTGCCTTTCCTCATGATCTTCAGGAGAAAACAGTTGAATATGCCCCCCTTCCCATTGAAGGTAGTCAAAGTTAAATTCCTATTTTGTTTGATTTTAGAATTTTCTTTTGACTCAATTCTTTCTTTTTGTATGTAGATGACACAGAAGGCGATGCACCACAAAATCCAGATATGTCTGTGAAAATTTTTGCAACACCAGCCACAGCCAGTCATGTAGGAAACTATCAGCAGAGTACTGTAAATTTTACCCTTCCTTCTGAAGGTAGTACATTTTGTTCACCTGCTGATTGAGTAAATTGCATTAAAGAAACTTTTGGCTCATTCTCTTCTTTTGATCCTGTTCTATAGATGACACAAAAGGCAATGCAACACAAAGTCAAGTTTCATCTCTGAAATTGTCATCTGCAACAACACAAAATCAAGATTTGTCTCTGAGAACATTGTTTGCAACACAATCCACAACTCGAGTCAGCCATGTAAAAGAGCGCGAGCAGAGTACAGTCAGATTTGAGCTTCCCATTGAAGGTAGTGCAGGTTCCTCACCTTTTAGCTTGATTTTAACAAACTTTCGGCTCCTAATTTCACATGTCATCATTTTATAGATGACATGGAACACAATGCAACTGAAAATCCAGACTCATCTCATAAAGTGTTTCCTAAAACACCAGCCACAACTCAAAGATTTACCCTTCCTGATGAAGGTAGTGCAGGTTCTTCACTTTTTGATCAGTTAGTTTGGTTTTAAGAGACTTTTGGCTCATTCATTCTTTCTTGTGATATTTTTTAAAGGGAATGTGACTCAAAATCCTGATTTATCTTTGAGAACTTTGTTTGCAACACCTTCCACAACTCAAGTCAGTTATGTACAACACAGTCAACAGACTACATTTACATTCCATGAAGGTATGATCTCTTTTGTTCAATTTGATTTTTGAAATACTTGACTCAATTCCTTCATGCAACTTTTTAATAGATGTAAAGCAAGGCACTGCTGCAACACAGGAGCAAGGTCATGACGAGGATAAAAAAAGTGATATGAACTTTCAAGATTTTGCTCATAAGTATTTTGATGATGATGAAGTAGATTATTATCATGGTGAGCATTCGAGTAACGATCAAGTGGATGAAACTAAACAACATAACTTGCCGAGTGAAGTAGCAGGAACAAGTCACCATGATGCTTCTGGCTTAAAAGATAGGTCCTTTTTTACTGGTGAAGGTATATATATATATATATAAATACTTTTTTTTTTTTTTTTTTTTTTTTAATGTCTTTAGTAAATAAAATTGACTTTGATTATAAAAGACTTATGGAAACATTGTTTCTTATGACTGTAATGGTTGACAATATGCAAGGTACAACACAATCTCCCGGTCCTAGTGAGAGTTTTGGAGGCCCAAACTTTGACATTGCACGTAAATTTTTTGAAGATAAAGAAGTAGATTTTGGTTCCAGTGACAACTCGGGTGATGAAATGAAGCAACAAGATACAGGTACGTGATTTCTGCTTGATATTATTATTATTCTTTTGTTTCTGACATATACTTTGAATGAAAAAATTTTGTAAAAGAAAAAAAGTAAGATGCTATATAATAAACAATTCAATGGTAGTAATAGTAATATTTGGTATCTTGCTTTTTATAAAATACCATCTGCTAAGCTATATTTGATTTTGAGCGCAGGGAGAAGAGAAATGTAACAGTAAGTTACAAAGGAGCAAAGACTCAATTTTCTAACAAGTGAGCATATAGAAAGGTCCTTTGGGTAAAAATAATGTTTATGTTACATTTAGATAAAGGGGATTTGTGTGTAGTCTAACTGTTATTTTTATATTTGAATACCTCGTACTTCGGAAAGGAAAACTTAGACTAGTTACTTGTGATGTAGTATTTTGTTTAAGTTTCTATAACATTGCATTGCTTGACCACCTTACTTGTAATTTTGAGTAGAGGACATTGCAAAGTTCTTAGATTACTTGCTTTGGGCCTTATTATCTCTTATACAAATAGGGACGACATTTAATAATTATTTATTTAAATTTAGTTATTTTGTAAGGTTAGAGACGATCTATTTTACAAAATAGAACTTGTGGTTATCATAGTTAAAAAAAAGTGGGCTTGAAGTGAAATAATTATGCAAATATGAATACCATTTATGTAATTTACTTAAAAGTTTTGTAGAATTAGTCAACTATTGGATCTCCCTTGCTTTGTTTTATGTATGTGTATTTAAAATGAGAAAAACAAAGATATAATTTTATTTTATTTAAACATTTTTAATTTTGTTAAATAAATAATCTCAAAAGATATGTATATAAAGAATGTGAAATAGACTGAGGAATATTTTTAAAGATTTTTGGACAAAAGGGACCACATTTAATAATTATTTAATTATGTTTAGTAAAAAAAGCCAATGATAGTATAGTCATTTTTATGGTTAGACAATCTATTTTACAAAATAGAACTGCATAGTTAAAAAAATGTTAGACTGAAAGCGAATTAATCATAAAATTATAAAAAACTATTTATATAAATTATAAAGACTATTTATGTTTTATCCATATCTTTTCTTTTGAATTCAAATCATACTATAGTTTCTTTTTGTTGTGATTTTCATCCCTAATACAGATGAAAATATATTAATATCTTACTTATTTTTTTTTGGGTAAGTTACCAATCGTCCTTCGTGTATATGTCAAAAAACATATTTAGTTCTTATTTTCAAATGTTAACTAGGTCCGTTTCCTTTTTGGTTAATAGTTGCACATTTCATCCCTTGTTAATTTAAATTTGCGCGTTTCAATCCTAGCTTCATCCCTTGTTAGTTTAAATTTGCACGCTTCAATCCATTACCAGACATCATTGGAAATGGAATTTAACAATCCATTGATTATATATATTTGAGAGCATCACAAACATAAGAATCAACTAAACACTAAATGATCCTTAAAATTAGATTTGAGAAAGCTAGGGTTTGGAAAACCCCAAAATCTTTATCAAAACTCAAAATAAGAGGAAATAGAATGAATGAATGCGGAATCATCTAGGAAGAGAATCATTAAACAAAATTCAACAGATTACAAATTTCCTACATGGAAATCAGATTTGAAAAATCCACACATGAACCCTAACCATCTAGGGTTTTGGAGAATCAAATCGCTGTCGAGAGTGGGAAAAGGGTTGAGCACATTCACATGAATGAGAAAAATAAGGGAACACATTAATATTAATATCTTTGGAGATGGGGACGTGCAAAAATTATGGCTATTAAAGCCATTTTTTTTTTATTTTCTCTATATTGTGGAAAAACCTTGAAAAATAAATACTTATTAAGCGTAAAAAAATATAATATATCAAAATCTATGTTTACATGTGGCATGGCTGGATGGTGCCTTTTTTTTTCCTACTATTTTTGGTTATTAATAAAATTGTGAATGTTAAGATAAAATGTTAGGTCATCTACACCATTGCAATATTAGTATCTTTCAATTATGTTATATCAATTTTGCATGTATCTCGGACACAAAAACAATAACAACCTTCATTTAAAAATGGTTCATAGTGACACCTCCACAATCCTCTCTAATAAATGAATGTTTTTTTTTTTTTTTTTTTTTTTTTTTTTTTTTTTTTAAATTTTATTTTTATTTTTATTTTTTATCACTTGTCATATTGTCGTTCAATTTATCAAATGTTATTTTTTGATTGTTTTGAATTAATTTTTTTTCCACGAGTCATTTATGAGTTTTTTCTATTTTTCTAAATTTTACATAATATTTTAATATAATAATTGCAATAAATATAGTAATAAATGAATATCGATTTTATTAATGAGCTTACCTTTTAATTTCAAAATTTCCAAAATAAAATCCCATTATTTTCTTTTATTTATTTAAATTATATGTTTAAATTTAAAAGATAAAAAACATTTCGATTAATAATAATTTATTATTTTTCTTATTTTCCTATAAGTTCTTACATATTTTGATCTTTATATTTAACTTTTTTTTTTTTAAATTAACTGATGTAATACATAAGTTTCACATCTAATTCTATTATATATAATATTAATCATTAATCATATAAACCTATAAAAACATTATATATACTAGTAATCAACATCAAGTTTATTTTTCAATAAAGTTTCATTTATGTTTTAATTAAAAGCTTGAAATATGTAATAATTGGATTAATATGTTATTAAATCTCTACTATTTATTTTATTACGTAAAATATGATAAAATAAAAAATAATAATATATTTTGATACGTAAATATATTAACATAGTAATATTACACTCTTTGGTCAAATGCTTGCTTTCTCAAACCCAAAGATCGAGATCACAGGCTCGCAACTCCATTTTTGACATGAACCAAAGCTTCTATACTTCACTTATCTACCTCCGCCACTCACCCCACGACAAACTTTCCCCATCGCACCACTGATTGCTCCCTATCTTTCGACGCACACATACAAACCAATAGCACTATTTAGACCATTGCTACAGACGCACCACCGCTGCTCTTCCACCTTCGTATCTCTCTTACCACCATCGTTGCTCTTCCACCTTCGTATCTCTCTTACCACTACCGCTGCTCTTTGTAACATTCGGACTCCCAAGTATATGATTATATATATATATATATATATATATATATATATATATATATATATATATATATATATATATATATATATATTTGGGTTTATTGAGTAACATACTGGTGGTAGCTAGAGTTTTTACAAGGAATAATTTACCTACTGGTGGTAGCAAGGGTTTTCAAACAGAATACTTTACATACTGGTGGTAGCTAGGGTTTTCAAACGGAATACTTTACATACTGGTGGTAGTCAGAGTTTTCAAACGGAATACTTTACAAACTGGTGGTCGCCAGGGTTTTCAAACAGAATACTTTACATACTGGTGGTAGCCAGAGTTGTCAAACGGAATATACTTTACATACTGGTAGTAACCAGGGTTTTGATACAAACGATATTTTACATATAATGAAAATAAATCATTTATTCAAATTCGGTGACTAGTATTCATTACAAAAACATGCTTATGAACTCACCAGCTTTATGCTGCTACGTTTTCAAAATCGCTTGCATTCTCAGGACAATAGTAGACAGATACTCTTGTCAGCTTTTGGAGAAGACAGAGCAATTTAGAGTCTCGTCTTTTACTATTGTCTCATTTTGATGTATATAAACTATATTTTTAGACAGATGTACATATTCATATTATAATGTAATGGTTGTGTTTACTTTGATTACTATGATGCAATTGTTGTGATACTACGCATGACGTCCTCCACCCCTAGACGTTCCGCCGTCTGACTTACGGTTTGAGGGTGTGACAATTCATAACACAAAATGGAAATTATGAATGCTTATCACGACTATGGCCACGATACAACACACACCAGTTAAGTCATTTACAAAAGACAATAGAGATAAATAATATATAGATGTTTCGGTTCAACCTTATTAAATTACTGGGATATCCCAATAAAATACATCTGATAGTTGTAGTTACTTTAGATCACATACTCCATTCAAATCAACATAATAACTGTTTTTATGCTCAACATAGCAAATGTCAATTTGATTTTACCAACAAAAAAAACCCTACAGAAGATGAAAGTTTAAAACGTATACGAATAAACTAAAGCAAAATAAATAATAAAATAGATTAGCATACAACAAATAATAAACACTTAACATGTAAATACAAATTATGGTTCAAAATATTATGTTGTTAAATATCGAAAGAAGACATACAAAACATGTAACAGATATCATTTCACCTGTCCGGAAAATGAACACCAAATTATATAATAATGTCTAATATTTTATGTCCTCATGGGATTTACATAACAGATAAATATCCTGAATTCCATCCCTTCATCCTACAATAATCCCCAAACCTAAAAGAATAAATCAAAATGAGAATCCCAAAAAAGTCAAAATAAGATTTGTCAAAGTCAACTCAATGTTCTAGCCACAACTCCCTGCCTTTTGTTATCTACAAACACTAATCAACCTCTTTCTTTCAATCTACACTACTCGATATTCATACCTTATCGTTCTTAGTCACAGTCCAGCCCACAAGGTTCCAAACTAATCCCACCTTTACCAACAAACGGGTTGACCCGCACCCACAACAAAGTCAAAATCGAAGCTAAAAGGATTGACCAAACAACAATTATAGTCGGAACACCACTTTGTTTTCCCATCATACCCTTGAGGAAAGGGTAAAGATGTAAAATCACCCATATCGAAAACAACAGTTTCCCGAAAAGCGGACCCCACGACTCGTATCCGTTAGTAATCGCGCCCGAGACCCCAACAATCACACTGATTATATTGAAGGTCAATAAAGTCAACGGTGGGATCAAGAGACTTGTCCATTTAAAAAGATAGAGCTCTGAAAATTCCCCATCATCACCTCCTTTGGAAGTGACTGTAAAATTTGTATTGACACCAGCCAAGACTTTAAGTAGACCTTGAAAAAGAGCAAATAAGTGGGAGGACACACCACCGATCACCCAAAATTGCTCATTTCTCCAAAAATCATCTATGCCCAGACGACCCCATTGGATTTCTAAGACACTTGTTACAACAATTGATAAAAACATGAGCATGAAGAGAATGCTCGCGTAATTGCTTATCTGCAACAAGAAGATATGGTACAATATTATAAACATGTTGCAAGAGACAGACTTGCTATAAATAATTAACAAATCTAAAAGTACATTGCTATTTTCTTACCTCGAGAACGATAAATTTCCCTGTGAGGAGACACACTGCTGGAAGTGTGCAATAAGCAACCAATGGAACGGAGGTCAACGGATAGACAACAGAGTTTATGTAAGAAAACCTTTCCAAAGGCTTCAAACCGCACCCGTAACCATACCATATCGGACAATGCTTACTCAACAAGATTTCAACCGACCCCAGGGCCCACCTAAGAACTTGGTGAAGACGATCCGAAAGATTAATTGGAGCCGAACCCTTAAATGCGGGCCTCTTCGGGATACAATACACCGACCGCCACCCGTGACAATGCATCTTGAATCCCGTCAAGATATCCTCGGTAATCGAACCGTATATCCATCCCACCTGTTTTGACATTTGCATTTTAACTTCATAACTTAATGAAAAAACCCAAAATACAAAATCAGTATGTATAAGGCACAACAATGTGCCTCATACGTAATTCTATGTATCAAGCACGAATTTCGTGCCTGATACAGAACAATGTGCCCGATGCATATAATATGCATCGGGCACAACAATATGTTTGATGCGCATCTGTATGCATATCAATTTTATTTTTATTTCACAAACCTCTTTTCCCCATTCGGTTTTATCTTCATAACCACAACTAATGACATGAATGGCTTCTTTCAAGAGTGATGCCGAGCTCGCTCCAGAAGGAACACCACCTTCTTCCAAAAGTGCTGAAGCGATAAACACTGGAGATTGTCCGAATTTCTTTTCGAGCTTTATCTGAGGGGCGAGTGAAGATATCTCACCACTAGTTCCTACAAAAAAAAATTCCTTTCAAGAACACAAATAAAAGAATCAAACTTCAAAATATCTTGAAACCGGTCATTTACCTTCAATCCCTTCTTCGATATTCTCCAATGCGTGTATCTGCTTTGAAGCTTCCCTCATCTTCTTCATCTTCCTTGTTTTCTTCTTTGCATTTCCCTTGCTTTTCTTCTTTCTTGATTTGAAACAACAGCAACACCATTCAGGCAAGCAGTTGCAGGTTTTTCCGGGAGGTTTCTTCTTGGCCGGAGCATCATGTCCATACAATGCCTGTCTCCTGAAAACACATCCGGTCCCAACATATATCGGCCCTTGGATTCCATCAAGTCCTTTCATATTAATCTGTTCTAACAATAATAAAGTATTATAAACCAAAACTAGGCTATCTTAATAGACTATTTTTGATGTATCCGAGTAACAAAATGTGACATACATCAAAAAACACAACATTGCGATTTGAGTATCTATCATGCTGATCGATCCCGTCAAATCTTTGAGGAAACTGTACATAACAAATCTTCTTCCCATTTATGGGATCCATCATGAAGCACATTGATTCTCTAAGCGCTTTATTGTTGTTGATGTAGTGGTCACAATCAACATTCAGCATATAAGGCACATTTGTGATCACAGTTGACACTCGGATCTACATAAAAGAAAGAACAATAGGTTAATTAATAGCAACAACGAATGATATTGAAAGTATATAATCCATATGGTAACAAAGATAAAAGTTCATACCAAAGCATTCATGGATCAGCTTTTTTATGGTGGTCAAATCCTGGTCTTTTCTCTCGAGAAACATAAACAAGACGTGGTAGTTCGTTTCTTTCAACATCCAAGACACCATTATTTCCTAGGAAAACCTGTTGAAAACACTTGAGGGTCAAATGGAAGAAATTGCAATGTATTATTCATTGATTTGTTTACATTAGCATCCTCCATTCGTTTTTTTTTTTCATACTACTGCATTTTACTTCGAGAAATATCCCGCATTATAATGTTCAATAGTTCGGTAGATTTTTCAAAATACAATGCCATAATAAGACAAGAACTGAAATTAGAATGTTGGAATAGAAAGAAATGAAAGTATGCTGCTATAATACCTGGATCATTCCGGGATGATCCCTAAGGTTGTTTCCTGGCCATGGACTCCCAACTTGCATTGTCCATCCTTCTTCCAGAACCTTCTCAGCCATGGCCACAAGTCCATTTATCCTTATCTTAAACTCTTCATAATCCCTCTGTATTTCAAATGATTGGATAATACGATTATATCAGATATCAAATCATAAAATATGCCCAAACTTCATACAAACAGAAGGAGGACATTTTCCAACCTTCATGGCACGGCGTTCTCACACAAAAGCAGGATGTACTTTATCTTTAAGATAATCAACTTTTTCAGCAAAATACCACTCGGGAGCTCGTGGCTCTATGTTAAACTTCTTGCAAAACGGGACCCACTTCCTTGCAAACTCGGATGTTTCCGAGAGTGCTTTGAATGTAAGCATGGCGGCACCATCATCGGATACATAACAAGCCACCTTGTCCACCGGATAATCCACCGCAAGAATCGATAACACCGTGTTTGCGGTAATGAGTGGCGGTTCTTTTAACGGGTCAACCGTACTCACATAAACATCTATAGGAGCAAGCTCAGAAGCCTTCCCATCTTTCTCATACCTTTATACAAAGTAACCATCTTTTAACACAATCGTAAGCACTCAAGGACATGACATGATAGAACAAGTCGTACTCTGCACTGTGTTTGGACTGGGAGTGGGGCTGGTGTTAATGTGATAAAAGGGAAGAAAGAGGGTTATGTATACCTTAATGACAATCGGTCCAACTATGTTTCACGTTCAATAGGAAACCATTTTGGGAATTGATCCAAGATCCATGAAACAGCAAACCATATCTCACAAATAATCGATGTGAGCCACAAACCGTATGCATCACGAACAGGGTGAAGGATTCTATAATGAAAGAAGAGACAAAGAATTGCCACTCGCATTAAAATCACCATTCTGTATGGATTTATCTTGCTTGAAGAAATCAGTAGCTTTCTTGATAGTGGTTGCCTCCCCTCATCCATCCTATATAAAACCAAAAAAGTTAATAAATTTCTATTAGTTGCCTTTCTGACTTTCTCTATTAAGTCAAAATCAAACATCCATACATAGCTTTAAATACAAACAAAAATAAAAACTATTTACTTGGGTAAATCGCAATCATCCATATCTCCATCAACCTCACATCCACTATTCACATTGTGCTTAACTATCTCATGTTTATCAGATTGTCTTCTCCTCCATGCTTCCATTCTATCCTTCCATGCAACCGTTCCATATCCATAAACTACTATATCTCTCTTAGGATCCATTGGTCTAGGTGGCACTACAACAAAAACACCAATAACCACACTAACATTAAACCTAACCACACACAACTACACCATAAATCAACACACACATAAGAAATTTGAGAACTTACAAGAGACAACCGAACCAGTATCGGAAAACTGGATAGGATGAATTCGCTTTGAACGACTCATGATTGGTGGGATAATAGTAGCTTTTTTCTCAGGTGAAACTTCATCATCCTTCAGTTTTGAAAGTTCATAAATCTTCAATTTTTTACCTTAGAGCAAATGTACATAGAGTGTAATTAATTGTGTGATTACCTCTTGACTGTATGTAAGAAGCGGGATATCTGGGTTTAGTGTGGCTTCATCCATCTCTGATGAAGTGGCAAAACCGTAAATATTGGCTGATTCAGGACTGGTATTAAGGCGTGATGAAAACACAGCCTCACAGTTCCTAACATCAAATTCATTATCCAGATCATCAAATTCATCTTCTTCTTCATCACCTTTCACTCTTGGACTCCCTGATATCACAAACTTTTCAACTCATTCCTTTTCTTTTCACTAAAAAGACAAGAAACTAGTAAGAATTGGAAAGAAATAGAGCATTATTGATACCTTTTATTCGTTTGTATCTGGTTTTGCATTGAGGGCAAGCTTGATTGCCTTCTCTTCTTTCGTATTCATAGCAAGGTCTGCAAACAGGGAATGCACATTCGTTACAAGCTACAAATGGTTCCTCATCCACACTTATTTCAATCTCGTCTCCACAAATCTTGCAGATCTACCCACTTAATTCTTTTACAGAGGTTACCTGTTGAAGAAAAAGTACTTTCAGAACAAGAATCCAAAGACCCAATTGCCCAAAATAGGAATCTTCATCAAATCGTGTTTAAAAAGGAGAAAGAACATCAAAAGTTTGCAGTTTTAGAACAATGAAGATCTCCATGAAGACAGATATATGAAAAGGTTATTATAAAATCATGAATTAGTTAAAGAAATTAAAATTAGACAAAACGCAAAATTTGGTTCACGAAGATAGAGTGATGTTACCATGTGTGAATTAATGTCTTATAGCTAGAAATACAGATGAGTTCCGTGACTCAAAACAAAATTCGAGATGCATTCACTTTAACTTCTCCCAAAAAGCAAATGTTCTAAACAACATTTAACCAGCGACAAAAGTAATGAGAAGATAAGACTTTGCGGATTTCAAACTTAACACCAAGAACACACATTGCACTAAAAGTTGAAAAATCTGCGTCAAATCACTCTAATTCGTATAAAAAAAACTAAAAAACAATGTTGCAGCATTTTAGAGCTCAACTTACTCTTCCAACTTCGTCCGCGTTAATCAGGTTCCTGTGGTGCGAACCGGCTACCAGTCTTCCTTTGGTAGCCATTAATTGAAGAGTTTCTTCAGCGAAGTACAGAGCGTTTTCTTCTTTCCCTCACTTCACTCGCTTTCTTCAAATACCCTTTTCATAAACCCCTAAGGCCTAAACCCGCATCGAAAAAAATACCGAAAACGTAATGTAAACAGCGACATATGTGTAATTTTTTATCTATATAATTTAGAACAATCCCCAATTTAATGTTATTATAAGTTTTGTGGGATTATTATAATCAAAGAAAGATATGGGTACAAGGAGAGATCGACAACGAAAAGGTTGGTGGAACTTTTAAGAGAAAACGGAAGTCGAATACGTAGGAAGAGATGCAGATTGGTTTGATGAATGGGTTTTTTTTGATGCTATGAGTTGTAATCTACGGAAGTGGGGCCCGGATCTGGTGGTGGAAAGCGGGCCCCACCGTTTGGTACGGTGGTTCTTGGAGGTGTGAGAGGGGCAAAAGGGTAAAATCAAAATTGTATCTTTAGATTGAAAGAGGAGATGATGTTGGTGAATCTTGATTCTTGAATATGATGACGGTGGTGGTGGTGGGGTTTCAACATTAAAGTCAAAGTCACTCTTCACTGTTGAACAGTATATGGGTTGGTAGATGGTCACGTGCAGTCAACGTCTTTGTTGTTCTCGACTAAATGTCATGGGTTGTTGTTGTGTTTGTGTAAGAGTACATTGCTTTAGGCTTTTGGCCTTTTGCTTGTATCATTCCAGATAAATAAACAAAGTTAAAATAAAAGTTTTAATCAAAATTGTCTTCTTTTATAATTATATATACTAACAAACTAGAGGAGCAAAAATATCGATATCAAACTAAAATGGAAGAACCAAAAGTATTACTGATATTAAAAACTATGTTATATCCGTCTCTTGATTAAATATGTTGTTTTTAATAAATCGAATGTTTACTAGTGAGAACGATACAAAATTATGATAATTCACAAGAGAATAATGTATTTAAGTTTTAACAAATAGTAAAAAATAATGCTGATAAAATCATATCAGTTAAAATTATAGAAAAATATTAAAGTATCTATATTTTTTATTTTGATTTTTTCTAATTTAGACAATGTTTCAAAAAAAAAAAAAAACAAAACAAAAAACATATTTACTTATTCATTTTTATTTTGCACATAAAACCGGTTATTGAGCTTATTATATAAAAAAATGTATATTTTGTATTTTTTCTGTTTTAGACCTAAATTTTTTTATAAGATAATGACTTGGGAGGGTAATTATGTTTTTTGTTTGTGCGCATTAGGTCGCTTAGGTTTTTTTTTTTTTTTTTTTTTTTTTTTTTTTTTTTTTGTGCGTAGTAAATCATTATGGTCGTTATTACCATTTACATTTAACCCTTTTTACCGTTTGCTTCTTGTTTAGCTTAGTTGGCAGCTTACGTGTCCGGTGGCATGCCTATAACAACCCCATCGAGTCCACCTCAAACAATGTCCTATTTTTCTTGTGCCCTAAATTGAAGAGTTGAAGAAGAACAGAAGAAGATGTCGCAAGCCTCCATCGCCTCCATCTCAAACAACCGAATCATGTGCTACTGTGGGCTCCCGAGTCGGATTCGAGTCTCCACGACACCACAGAATCCGGGGAAAAGGTTCAGAACATGCCCTAATTCGTTGGTAATGGCTAATTTTGAAGATTGAAGCTTTTCTCTCTTTAAATCTCTGTTATAAGTGTGTAAGTTATGTCATTTATGCTAAAGTTTTGTTCTTTTTTTTTATTTTTTATAGAGAGCAGGGAGAAAGTGTGGATTTTGGGAATAGGTTGTTGAAGATCTGTACACAGAGGAGCTTTTGGGTCTTAGTCATGAGCTGAATGAAATGAAGAAGAAGATGAAATGGCATAAAGTAGCTTTGATTGTCTTGTTTGTATTGTACTTTGTTAAATTATGTTGAATGGAATTATGATGCAGTAGACATCTTTTGAATATAAAGGGTACCCATAATTTTGTTATTTTGATTGTAAGGGTACCTATAATGTAATGAAATCATATGTATGAATGCAAATGAAGCTTTTGGTAATGAAAATTTTAATTGTAATGTTAATATGGTGAATTGTAATCTAAATGCTATTATAGTGAACAACCAATCTCAGTGTAATGCAAAAGTAGTAATTATAATGAACAACCAAGAATCAGTTAAAAGTTTTAAAGGAGAAAATATATTAAAGGAAGAAGCAGTAATTGAAGGCAAAGTACATCTGTGAAGTGCATGATTCAACAACCAAGAATCAGTTTAAATATTTAAAGCATAAAATATATTAAAGGGTAATATTGTCATAGCTACAAACACCCTTAAAAAGGTGTCCCATTAAGCATCAAAATAGCATCAAAAGCTGGATAGTTTTGTCCCCTAGTCTAGTATAACATTACATTTAATATCAAAAGATTTGACCATCACATGCTTACCTAACACTTACACCCCACATGCATACATAACAAAAAAAAAAAAGAGTTCAACATCAAACCTACAATCAACCCAAAACTACAGGTTTGTTTGAACTACAACCACTACCATCCTCGGGCACCACTTTTTTCCTCAGGCACTGTTTGATGATTCTTTCTGAAGCTTTCCTCTTTCTCAATTGAACTGGTCTTGCAGAAGTGGATCTTGGAGTTGCAGGAGTGGATCTTGGTCTTGGAGTTGCCGGAGTGGATCTTGGAGCTGTAGAAGTGGATCCTGGTGTTGGACTTGGAGCTGCAGAAGTGGATCCTGGTGTTGCACTTGGAGCTGGAGTGGAAGATCCAGGAACCGGATCACCTGTTGTTGGAATTCTTTTTGTTGGGCACCCATTTTTTTTATGCCCACTAACATAGCATATTGAACACCTTTGCACCTGTTTTACTCTTGATACTGTGTGTGTGCTTGGTATCTCCTTTTCTGCTGCACTTTTCCTCCTCTTAGTAGATGGCCTACCAGGTAGCCTTCTACTCTTTGGGGGTAAAGGTTTGGTGTACTCACTTTGTGTCCATAATGAGCTATTGTTCCAAGGATGAATAATGTATGCATAGCAGGTGAGATAAGTTGCCTTACTATAACATTTAGCTACATAATACTCTGATTTAAAGTTCATGGATGAAATTGCAGCCACTCCATGTACACAGGGTATTCCAGTCAACTGCCATCTCCTGCATCCACAAGTCCTTCTGATCAGGTCAACTGCATACCTGTCATTACATAATACCACCTTAAATTGTTGATACCCACAAGTGTACACAACCCAGAATCTGTACATAAACATAAATCAGGTAAGAACACATAAACACATGTATAAATATTAACAAGTAAATACAAACATTCTTACCTTTGTTTCTCCTTCAAATCTCCTATTTTCTTCCTAATGCTTGGGCATATACTTAAATCCCAAGCCTCTCCTTTACTCCTCTGATGGTATAACCTCTGCATCACATAAACCCTTATATCCTCCAACATTGCTATTATTGGTTTATGTCTAGCCTGAACTATTTCAGCATAAAAACTCTCTGAAATTCCATTTTCCACGGCATCACAAAATACCCCTTCTACTTGAAAAGCCTTGCAATAACATTTAGGGTCCCTCTCCATGAGATAATCAAATGCCCCCTGTCTAATTCCTTGATCTCTTGCACAGCAGCTTCATGTCTCTGTTTTGTAGTAGCCTTCACAGCTCTCCAAAATGGCTTGATAAAATGCTCACCTTTGAACCTTGTGTTGAAGTTGGCTAGTATGTGCCTAGCACATAATCTATGCTCAGCATGAGGAACCCTTTCTTTGATAGCTTCAATTAAACCCTGTACAATTTACAATATTAATTAATAATTAAACTATAAAGTTAAGAGTAAACATGAGTAGTACCTTGTGTCCATCTGATATAAGAGTAAGCCCATTTCCACTGCCTCTGTCAATATCATCCATGAGTAGATCAAGAAACCATTTCTAAGTGTCTTTATTCTCAACAGTCACAACAGCCCAAGCTAGTGGGAACATGCTGTTATTGGCATCCCTACCCACGACAGCTAAGAGTTCACCCTTGCAAATTCCTTTGAGAAAGCACCCATCAATCCCAATGATTTGTCTACACCCTTCTACCTAACCATCTCTTACACCTTTAAAGCATACATACAACCGTTCGAAAATTAGACTTCCATCAAGGGTATGGTCAACATCCATACTCACAGTTGATCCTGGATTAGCTCTTTTGATTTCTATGCCATAGTACCACAACATACTATAATGCTCTTTTAGAGTGCCTTCTATCTCAGACAACGCAAACTTTTTTGCATTTCTACATTGTCCAATGCTAACTATGATGTTGTATGTGCTTGAGATTTGAGCTTTCATCTTCCTCAAACTAAGCCTGGGGTTTTCCAGAAGTACATTGAAATATTGTTTCCCTATCCACTTGTAATTCACTAAGCCTATTTTAAAAACTCTACCACAATTATGACTTGATTTAAGTGACTTAATCTGAAAAGTCCTTTCCTCTTGCATCCAAGAAGCCCACATCCGAAAAGGACATGAAGGTTCTTTATCTTTGCAACACTTCACTAGAAGTCTGTTTTTATCATTCTTTTCATACCACAAATCATAACCATGCTTAACAGCGACAATGTTTAAGTTCAGTAGGATTGGTGAATTTCATACCTAACACAGGTGCCATTTCATCCCATTGTTGCTCAGAATTGTGCACAGGGTATACAGGTGGTAGTTGCTCAACATTAGAATCTTCTTCCTCTTCAACATTTGGACAAAGTTTGTTCGAAAACCTGTCTTTATTCTGAATAGTTGTTGTTGCCCTTTTCATTGAAAAATCCTCATCATCCACCTCGTGTTCCCAGCAGTCTTTATTTATTAACATTGAATCAACATCTTCATCTGCTTTGGAGTTGATATCATCTTCAATTTTAGGCTCTTCCATTTCAATCCAGTCGAACAGGGGTTCATGCATATGGTCCACATACACATTTACTTTCTTTTTCTCATGGAGACACTCATGAAATTCGTGGTAATCACATTCGTTATGCAATGCGGCCAATCCTTGACACAATGTTTGCCCATCTGGACAATAATATACATCTTTGCACATTCTTCTAGTAATCACGTTGAGGTGAGCAATGAATTCATCATACCCCATCTCCTTGAAATCGGCGTACATTATCTCCTTTTTATCTGGATCAAAATAGATTAGTGGTTTGTTGATGAACATCCCGTTGTACTAGACTTCAACGACCAGTGTATCAGCTTCAGCCATTTGATTGTGGATTGATCGAAGTAAGAACAATGGGTGGGGATGATTGAGTGAGAGTGAAGAGAAAGTGATTGGGATTCGTCTTGCCCTAATTTAAGGAGACCTAATATACATTAAATGCCACCTAATTATCCACGTAATGGCCTAATAACCACGTAACACCCGTATTCACTTTGTAACCGGTTAAATAAGAAGCAAACGGTAAAAAGGATTAAATGTGAACGGTAATTACGACTATAATGGTCTAATACGCACAAAAAAAACCTAAGTGACCTAATGCGGACAAACAAGAAACCTAATTAGCCTCCCAAGTCATTATCCTTTTTTTTTTTTTTTTTTTTAATCAAAATACATTTTTCTTTAAATTATTATTTGTAATTTTATAATGGAGTCTGGTACTAAGTAACCATATATCCATTTAACTCATGTGTGTCCTAAGCATCGAAAAAAATAGTAATTATTTATAAATCTCTAGGCCACGTAAATTCCATAAAATAACTTCTTCTTCAAGCATTAAATACATGTAGTAATGAATGTTGAAATGGATTCTAATATGTGAGGATGAAGCTCATTTATTTACCTCATATCTTGTTATTTTCACAAGATTGAGTATGTTTTCAAAAGGTGTCCGAATACTCTTTTCACAAAGTCTAATGATATCTTTATTTTAAGAGAAATTAAATATCTTCCTACATTTTGATCCTACCAATCCTCCTATCTATTTAAATGATGACATTTGTCATATTAGAATCCTAAAATATCATTAAATCTCATTAAATGAACATTAAATGTTACACATATCACAATTTCATTGGGTAGAAGGATATGTAAAAATAAAATGTAAGAGGATATTTAATTTCCCTTATTTTAATAGAGTGTTGGGACATGTTTGCAATAACTTGTTATTTTTATCATTTAAGACCTTTTTGTTTAAAGTATTTATCAACCTTTTACAATGAGTACTAAATTTATTCAACATTGTATGGATGGATGATTGCATGCATTAGTTATTTTTTATCTTTATAACCTCCACCATGAAATTGCATTTTTTTCCAGTCATGGTATGAATGGAGGATCTCCGACATAAGCTTAATGTGAACCACGGTGAAATCTTTATTATGATTGGAATGTCTACTCGTGAATCAAAACATATTCTCATAAACATCTTTATTCAAGCATATGTAAAAACGAATTCCTCGGATACGTCTTTCGGTGCTAATAATGCATTTGGTGGTCACTTAAGCTTCATAGTAACCCTTGTTGATTTTACTATTTATTGTAAAATGTTGATAGGTAATGAAAAACATGACAACAAATTTGTCTATCCATTGCGAAACGTTGTTAATACTTGAGATGAAATGGGCTTAAAAGTTAAAAAAAAAGTATTAAATAACAAATAGCAACTTGCTTATAAAATTGTCTGTTACAATATGAAAATAAAACATATCATTACACCTTGTGAAAATAGTATTGAGACACGAGCTAAATAGAGGAGTTTCATCTTCACAATAGTTGAATTTAAGTTTATGTTCTAATGTTTGAATAAGAAACCATTTAAATGGGCTCAATGGGTGTACAAGAAAAAGAAAGAAAAAGAAGCAGCAGCAGTATGATCTACATTTTAGAATCGGTTATTCTTTATATGATCGATGCTTATGACGCATGTAAGTTAGAGACATATGGTTAGCTTTGTCATTAATGAAATAACAAAGAATGTATTAAAGCTAGCCTTATTTTGTAAATAATAATAATAATAATAATAATAATAATAATAATAATAATAATAATAAAATACACAATGTAGGAGTTTTCATGGAATAAACTCAATTTATCCGTCGGTAATCGGTTTCGTGATTGAAATAACAAGTCGGTAAAAATTATGTACTTTTTGATAAAAAAAAAAACTAAAAATTTGAGCATATCAAAATGTAAAATATTTTATGAAATAAACTCTTAAAATAAATGTGTTAATTTTCATGCTGATTGTGTGTGAAATAAATGTATTACAAAATTCCCTCTTTATGTTACTAACTTTGGCATTTAGTAATTAATACACGATACTAATGACATTAATTTGGTCAATATCTTTTTAACTGCGTTTTAAATATTTGATTAAAATATTTGATCAACGGTAAAAAGTTGATATATATATATATATATATATATATATATATATATATATATATATATATATATATATATATATATATATATATATATATATATATATATGGGAAAAGTGAATATACCCTTAAGGGTATATAAGCTTAGGTACCTAAACACATCATAATATATCATTTTCTTTGATATATTTATTATAATGTTCTTAAAATTCAACCTTAACTTGATTTACCTTCAAGATATTCGAAATTTCATTGTTATCTTTATCTTGAATCACATTTTTTTGCCGAACATCTACTAAGCTATATATATTGTAGTTAAAAAAGAAAATTATGTAAGAGGAACATAAATGTATAATTTACAAAAATCTTGGAAGTACATCAAGTTTGAAGTTAAATTATAAGAACATTAGATAATTAGAATGTATTATATGATACAAAACGATTTAATATGGTGTGTTTGGGTACCTAAGCTTATATACCCTTAAGGGTATATAAGCTTAGGTACCCAAAGTCATTATAATACGTCATTTTGTTTAATATATTCATTATAATGTTTTTAAACTTCAACCCTTAACTTGATTTACTTTAAAATTTTCGAAATTTCATGTTTATCTTCCTCTTACATCACATCTTTTTACCGAACACCTACTAGGCTATATATATTATAGTTGAAAATGAAAATTATATAAGAGGAATATAAATGTGAAATTGATAAAAATATTGGAAGTAAATCAAGTTAGAAGTTGAATTATAAGAACATAGGACAATTACAATGTATATATATGATACAAAACGATGTAGTATAGTGAGTTTGGGTACCTAAGCTTATATACCCTTAAGGGTATATTCACTTTTCCCATATATATATATATATATATATATATATATATATATATATATATATATATATATATATATATATATATATATATATATATATATATATATATATATATATATATGGGACGGTTCACTTGAGAATAAAAAAAAAGTAGAGATCTTGAGATTAAACCTCAGCCACATATTTCGTATTTGCCGCTCTAATGTTCTAGCGTACCAGTAGCAACGATGTATACCTAATCATAAATGATTATATGATAGAGAGGTATAATCATACAAGATTATACATGTTTATACGTATATGCATAATCATAAATGATTATACATATATGTCTGTTCACAGATTGAATAATCATAAATGATTATTATAGTTAGTCGCAGAAGAGGTGGTGGTGACAGAGATAACGGTGGTATAAGTAATGGAGGTGATAATGGTGGGGTCGACTGGTGTTAGAGGTGGTGATAGTAGTGGTAGCGGTGGCGGTTACGGTGGTGGGGATGGTGGCGGAGGAAAAAGGAATGGGTGGCACTGTGTAATCATTTATGATTACACCAGACCTGTCGCGTCGGTACGCCGAAGGGTTAGAGCGGCAGATGTGAAATATATGGCTGAGGTTGAATCTCGAGATCTCTATTTTATTTTTAATCTCAGCGGAACCTCTATATATATATATATATATATATATATATATATATATATATATATATATTATGATGAAAAGTATATTAACATATTATTAACTTTATTAAAATATAATATTTGTCGTAGTTAGAAATATAAGTAAGAAGAAAATATAAAAAAAAAATTATGCAAATTTTGGGATAAAAAGGTTTTGAACATAAATATAACAAATAAAGTTATTTTCTTAAACTACAACCTTGATTTTTTTTTTTTTTTTTGGAAACGACGAATATTATTAAGAAAACGAACTACCACTAGCAAGTAACTACCAGGGGAACGAGATTACAAATACGAAACAAAAACATTCATGGAATGAGATACATTGGTGTGAACTTAAAATATAAATAGAGAACCGATCCAGTTTCCTCGATCACTTATTTCTTCTTTGCCCCTACACTTTATCCAAAAATACACCGCTGACTTAATTGTCCCTTCACTATAAATGGGAGTATGAAATACTCCATTGAACACTCGGTCATTCCTGAGTTTCCACAGGATCCATATTAGGTCGTGAGATATGTTGAGAAATCTCATCACCTTCCTTCGGTTTCTTCCCCAATTTTCTGCAAAATTGATTAATTCGCCAACCGATGAGAAATCTTCCTGTTGTAAGCCACACCAATTGAAAATAATCTTCCTAACTTCACATGCGAATGGACATTGTACCAGGATATGATCTGAGCATTCCAATCCGTTAACACAAGCACCACAATTATCATTTTCTATGTCAACCCCTTTGCTTCTTAGTGCCACTGTGGATGGGATCTTCCTTTGTATCGCTCTCCATATAAAACAGTTAACTTTGGTTGGAGATATCTTGTTCCATTTAAAAGTTGGTAAAACATGATTGGGGTATTGTAATATTTGAGTTTTTCCTTAGTGAACTCACTGTGAATTAGCTGCCTAGTGCACAAACCCATTGATCTTCACCGGATTCCAAATGTGTGACAACCATCAATTTTCAGTCAAGTCAAAGTCAAATAAAGTTAACAAGTCAAAATCGGACAACTCATCTAACCCTTATGTATTGGGGTTTACTTTATGTCTTCTACTGTACAACTCACTATTTTAATAAGGAGTTATCACTTGGAAAGTTCGTATATTCAAAAATTCTAAACCCTAATCGGAGTAAGTGATGAAACTACTCGATAAAACATTATGCCATACCTCTCGGGGACGTATAACAATCATAACAAGGCTTAACGGGGTGTACGAACCTTGTGTTGCGAAGCTAAACATCCAAAAAGGTCACAAACGAACTCTCAATCTGTGACATCCTCATTTTCACGGCCAGAAAAGACCGATTTTGTTTA